AAAACGGATTCAAAATATCAAATTTTCGATTTCCAAATAGGCGATTTATACTATGAGTTTGAACCTTCGATATATTGGGGGTATACCCTCATACTTCAATGTACTATGTTCAAAGAGATGATATTTTGAAATTTGATATGGATATTTGAAGTAATGTCTTTATTCATGCTGAAAGAAAAACATCTTAGGCAATTGTGTCAGCACTTTTAATGATTTCCTTGGTTTTGAAAATGAAAACAGATGAAGGATCTCATTGATTTCAACTCCAGATGATATTTTCTGTTCACTCAGGAGCAATGGTATAAACTAGAATCCTCTAAAATTCATTGGACAAAGATGTAGAGAGTTTTTCGAATCATTTAAAATAATTTCAAAAGGATGAATTGCACCTATGTAGGTTATAATTGTAATTATAACATCAATAAACAACCCTCGGATGATTACCCAACTGTAAGAAAAAATAAGAACTGAAAAATAATGTCCAACTGTTTAATCAGAAGAACCCTGAGTTCAAAATTTCAAATGAATAATAAGAATAAGAAGCTGAAAATTTGTAATTCGAAAATGATATTTGTGTCAACCAGAGATTTACAACCCTTTAATGTCAGAGATTCAAGTTTGAGGGTGAGTGTATAATCTCAGAACGTCATCTTCTTTTGACGGTCCTGAACTTTCATTTATACTTAAACAGCTTTTCATTTCACAAATTTTCGCACCTAATTTTTAGTTACAACAGTGGAAACTGAAAATGTTTTATCTGCATGTCTAATTTATAGCTGCAATTGTGAATTATGAATCATGAAAATCAAATAAGAGATCTATAAATTTTGCAAATATTGTGAAAAAAATTTGTTCAGGATACCAGATCCAAGCCGTCGTATTTTCTCGACCTGAAATATCTATATTATTTCGTTTGGCTTAACAGATGTCTCTGAAATTAATTGAGAATGTCAATATCTCAATCTTTTCCATCGATATTATGAATCAGTTTGGATTTTAAATGTGAAGATTTAAAGAGAAAATTTATAATAATCTACAAGAATGACTAATTACTATGAAAAAGTTACAATTTCATTCATAATTTGTTTTATTGTTATTTTTATGTCGCATTGATAACAAATGGAAGATTGGAATGTTCCAATTTATTTGTCGCGAAGAACAGTTGGGTCATTCAGGATCTAAATAATCCGATGTAATATAGCATGAAAGTGCAATTACGATTAGAACTAGATAATATTTAAGAGGAGGAAATGACGCATGGGATAGTTATGTCATTATTTTTTTTATATTGAGAAATAAAAAATGACTCAAAAAACACTTGAGTCAATATTTCTTCAGAATAATGTATTAAACATCACATCTAATACTCTCAAGATACATTTACGGCGTTTTTGTACTGGAAAAAAATAACTTGCGTCAACTTTTTATAGAAAACTTCTCACAACTGACCGTTGCGACTGTTTTCTTCCAGTGAAATAGTGCCAATTGATACAAATTCGATAACGACGTAACTTACATCTAGGGGCCAAATATTTTACTACAATTCTGACGATTTTTTTCCAGATGAAGTAAACTTCTCTACCTGCTGATGGGCATAACTCATTTTATCAAAAAATTGCAGTTACGTCATTATTATTCTGGAACGGCGGTATGTATATGAGGAATTGGACAGGGATTGGGGGTAAGGTCCCTGTGGCCCCCTTTTAGGAACGCCTGTTTTAATTTGTAATACCTAATAGCGTGTATCGATCATATAATATATAATCCTGTGTAAGATACTTGAAGATGAATAGCTAGGGGCTGTACTGTCAGCATTGGTAATCTAAAGACGGATGTTTGCCTGTTCAGGCGAAACAATTTTTGGTCGGCCCTTTCAATGGGATTTCACTTATGCTTTCGGGTAAGTTCATAGTAAACACCTCCGTTGTCGATAACATGACAGATTCGCCTTCTCCTACCATGTATTTCTTATGGATAGGTTACCGAACACGTTCGGATGGTGTAATCTTCTTGTCGCAACGAATTTGTAGTCATGAATGGAATAGTAGACCATTGTTGTTTGTTTAATGAACTGTTGCTGATATAGTGAGCGGCATTTTTATGTGTTTACTTTTTACGATTTATTTGCACTTGTGCTTTCATACCTTTTCTTGTTGTTGTTGGCAATCTGTACCTACCTATAAGAGATTTCGATCTGAGTGGCTCATCTATATATTTCTACACCATGATGAGCATTTTTTTGTATAAACGTATGTATTCATTGTTATAAATAAACTTATCCTTTATTATACAACTTCGATACCATTTGGAGAAATGTAGGTATTTTGAATCTGCAATATCTCCTTAAACGTTTGTAAGATTTTGTTCGAGTTTTTCTGTTCATTGAAGATCAATTTTAAATATCGAAATATATACAGGGTTGCCACTTATTATTTCAATTTTTTGATTATCCTTCATTTATTTTCAGAACTATATACACCGGCCCTGATGATATTTTCGATTAGTGTTCATCTCTAGATGATGCTTCCTGATACGCAACTTTTTCTTCGTGTAACCGACCTTCTACTTATCTTGTATATGTGGTTTTGGAAGTTACCAATCCCATTGGAAAATTGACCATCTCGTATGAATACTACAGGCTGAAAGACTTCGGTCAAATGGGGTATATCCGTAAAAGAGATGTTCTCTCTCTAGAAATACTATTTTAAATTTTCATTGATTTCACATGATCTGTGAAGGCATCTTACCTTAAGAGATTTTTGCTTTTTTTTCAATTATCTATACAGTGTGATCAAATTTTAATGAATAATACTCCAAGAATCGATAGAACTCGATGAAATACTATTTCCTTTTTCTATTAATATTTGATCTAAAATGCTTCGCTATTGAGATATATAGGGCGTTGCATTTTTAACTTTTCAAAAAGAAAACCTGAAATATTTCAATATTTTTGATATATATATTGTAGATGCACTAAAATGATGCATTAATTAGAATGTCATAAGATTTCGATCGACAAACAGAGTGGTACATATTTTTTGAGTACCGATGATAAAAAAAACGATGGAACTTTTCTCTATCCAACTAATCAACGTCTACATTCAGCCCCTCCTGATATTTCTTCAGGAGAAGATTAAATCTGACTTAATGTATGCTAACATCATAGTTAGCGAAACACGTGTCGAAGCGTTAAAAAATCGGTTTGGTTAGTGGTAAAACAGTGTATTGTATATTGTCTGTGTTTCTGGATTTCTGTAGGTGAAATTTTTTTCTTGATGGAGTTATTGAGCCCTCATTTTCTTTTATTCTATTACTTATCTAGTTTTTCCTTCTGATGATATTAAGTATATCTGCTGTATAATAATGGTCATAATATGGGAAGTATAGTCGTAACCTTTAAAAATATTGTAATGAGAGATAGCAATGCGGATATTGAATGAATACCTCTTGAACGAATAATTTCGTGTACATGACGTTTTCAATCAGGATATTAAATTATCTGAAGTAGCACTCCTACGAATGCCCCTCGCTCTTAAAATTTAGGGTTGATACATATTGAGATTAATATGATCTTTTTTTAAGTACCCACTGCTTTCCGACGGATATGCCCTAATAAACCTTTGATTGAAGATGCCTTCTTTATTATTTTATTATTATTGGCTTCGCTATATTTCCCCTGCAGTCGAAACTCTGTTCTTACAAACCTACCGTACCGGTTGGATGATTGTTGAATTATTGTGCCCTTCATGCAATAGCGGATCTTCATGAGTATGCGCTCAGATTTGGGGGGAAGAATATGCCACAAATGAAATATATATATATGTATTTTCACATAACATCATTCTGAATATTTAGCAGAAAACAACTACTTTCCCATTCTGAATATTTAACAGAAAACATATACCTTCCTGGCTATTCGCCACGTTGAACATTGAATCATGTCTGTTGAAAATCCAAAAAGAGAGCAAGAAAAATTGAAATCCTTTGAAATTGAGAATTGACAATCTCTCAAATCTGATAAATAATATGATATACCTATTATGATATAAAACTATAACCTAACTATGTTTAGTATTGAAATGATAATTGAAATGTTTTCTGTTGAATATTCAGAATGATGTTATGCATGTGAAAATACATATTTTCATCTGAAGGAGAATGCAAATTCTCTACTTTAGAAGATTTAGTTTTCAAATTCTTATCGTACATGTGTGTTCAATAGATATAATACAATGTTCGTCGTAGAATATAGCCAGGAAAGTAGTTGTTTTCTGTTGAATAAACCGAGAAAGAATTGATATTTTCACATAGAGAATGCGAATTCACAATGTATTTCTTTATATGCATACCTATTTTGTAATTTTTTTATGTTCATAATTTATCTTAGAATATTCCTTTTCCTTTCACCCAATCAAGGGATTCAGACTTGGACGTTGGAAACTTGTCATTTTTATAGACCTTCAATCGCAGATTTATGTATAGGTTTTCTCAATTTAGAATTTCCTTCCACGTCTTGTATGAAGAATGATATATTATCACAACTTGCCCATAATGCTTTCTGAATTGTATTCCTCGGAAGTTTTCACAAAATGTCATTACCCTCCACTAGAATTCTACTCTAAACAAATTTCAGAAAGTGCATCAAGTATAGCTAAAAACATGTTGCTTATCAAAAATAATAAAAAGCAGTATGATGTATATCTTATATTTATTATCTGATCGGGCTATTATTTTGGCACATTCTGTATACTTATTCATGTCGTCGAATATATACTAATATAAACATTAGAGACTTTCAGAATTTTGAAGGAAAGAAATGGTAAATGAAGTAAGCATATCACATTAATTTGGGTATTATATTATTATTACTAAATTACATAATTTTTACAACGTATACCTAAGCAATGAGTAATTTTCAGGTAAATATCAGAGTCATTCTCGTATATATTGCACATCAATAAAGAGATCAAGTGATGCCCGCACTAGTCGAACAATTTCGTGGTTAAATCACTTTTTAGTATAGCACTGGCAAAATTCAGAACTAATACGTGGGTCACAACAGCTTCGTGGAATACAAAGGAACAGACATGGGAGGCCGTATGAATGGACTTATGAAGTGGTGAACACCCCTATCACCGACATAAGAAGGTGGAGTAGCACCTTGAGAGGACCCAGAAACATACTCGGAGTCCAGACAGTTCCCGCTGTTGTCATGCAGCTTCCTCATGTGCTTCTTCAAATCGAAGTTGCGGCAAAAACCTTTACCACACACTCTACAAGTGAACGGTTTCTTGTCGTTGTGGGTGTGCATGTGGAAAGTGAGGTTATACACTTGGTGGAAAGCCTTTGAGCAAACTGAGCACTTGTATGCCTTCTCCCCGCTGTGAGTGAGTTTGTGATTCTTGTAGTTCCCTTTTTGGTGGAAACCCTTGCCGCAAAACTCGCAGACGAATGGTTTGTAGCCTGCGTGTATCCGCGCGTGCGTATTCAGAGTAGATGATCTGTTGAAAGCCTTGCCACAGGTGTGGCATTTGTGAGGTTTCTCCGACGTATGGATTATCTTGTGCCTGCACAATGTTGAAGCCTGTCTGAAGCCTTTGCCACATATTTTGCAGACGAACGGTCTAGCGCCTGTGTGCACCGGCATGTGCCTTGTCAGATTGTAGTGGGCGTTGAATACTTTTCCGCATTCCCCACATTCGAAGCTTTTCTGTTTCGGGGTCAGGATGGTGCTTGATGGAGGAGTAGAGCTTGTAGCTAAGTTGGCCTTCGTCGGAGACTTATTCGGACTAGTTTTGACAGGGCTGAAGTGTAGGGGCAAGGGATTGACTCCTGCAGAACTGCTTCCGGGTGGTTCTTGCCCAATGGAGGAGGTGTATACAGACATCAGTTGACTAGGGTGGTAGTATACCAGGGGGTAGTTCTGTAGCAGCTCGGGCGATCTCAGAACGTTGGGTACGTATTTTTTGAAAGCGGATTCGAATGAGTTCGGTTGAGATAAGTTGAGCACTCTGCTGTCAGTGGTGTTTTCTAGTTCTGCGGGTTTCTTCGATTTATTATCGGGTTCCATGATTTTCGCTATGGAGAAGTTGAGAGTTCTTGCCGAAGGTGATGGAGCTTTCTGGGCACCTGGGTATAAGCTCGTGGATACTTCCGACGCCATTTTGAATGAGTTAGTGCACCTGGAAAGAAGAAAAACTTGTTATTTATATAGTCACATCAGTATAGGTTCATGAACGAAATGTTTCAACCTAGCCAAGTCAATTTTATCTGCATGAATATACACTCACTGGTAAAAAAACTGGCCACCAAAAAATATAGCCAAGTTGTTCGCCTTGATTTTGGTGAAATTTCGACCAAATCGTATAACCATGTTTCAGAATGTTGGCATGAATATTAATTCCTAAGAGAAGCTTATGGCTTGATCATTATACAGAGGAAAATAAAAGTTACTCTTTCACCCTCAACTTCTCAACACCCTGTGTCAAAGTAGAGTGGTTAAACTTGGCTTCATCATGTTTTCCATTGATGTGTAATCCTTTCTTGACACGATGGTTTTTGATTCACGTTTATAACCACTTTATGAGAGAAGATACAAGGGTTTTAAGAAAGTGTAGATGTTTTAATTTTTATGAACAGAAATTCAGAACCATTCTACAACCTTCTGCTTCATCATGTTTTGAATTGAAGTGTGATCCTATTTCGTCCCTTCTCAACACGATAGATCTAGATTCACGTCAACATCTTATTTTTAAAGAAAGATACAAGTGTTTTAAGAAAGTATGGATTTTTTAAATTTTTACTAACAATAATTCAGAACCAATAGAGCATCTTTATCGTCCCGCCTAGAGACTCTTCAAGAGCTATGATTCGCCCTTCAAGGAACATTTTAGGCAATTCTCTCTGCAGTTCATCAAACTCGAGGAGGGCATACCTACTCGTTATTGACAACTGGTCTGCTGTTTCTTAGTTCATTGTAATTGAGGTTTTATTCCGGTATTTGCAAAAAATAGGTAGAAATAAGTGATATTAATTTCCTAAGTTGTTAATCGATAAGTATATGTAGGTCCTCGAAGGAAGGAAGGAAGGAATGCTCGAAGTCATCTTCACAAATATGTAGGTTCTGATTGTTGTTAATAGGAATTAAAAAATGCCATACTTTCTCTACACTCGTATCTAGTCTTAAAAATAAGATCATGACGTGAATTCAAAACTATTGTGTCAAGAAAGGATCACACTTCAATCCGAAATATGATGAAGCTTAGTTCAACCATTCAATTTCGCCACAGGGCGTTAAGAAGTAAAGGGCGAAAGAGTGACTTTGGTTTTTTCCTGTATGATGATCAAGTCATCATATTTTCACGGAGACTAATATTAAGGCTAACATTCCGGAACATGAATCTACGATTTGATCGAAATTTCACGAACATCGCAAAAGTATTAAAAAATTTCAGTTTTGAGTCATATCAGAAAATATTTCGATGCACTGTTCAGTAGCTGATATACGTTTTGAATTCATTGCAGAAGTCGCATAACTCTGAATAGGGAACTGAAATCGAGCGAACGATATTACCCTTTTCAATGTGCATGAATATATTCGAAAAATGAGATATCCGAACAACGTTTTGGATCATTCTACGGCACCAGAAACGCCCCTTCGCATCAATCTTTTAAAAAGCGTTTTCGTGATGCATTGATTGAGATTTCGTGAAAGGCAGAGCCATGCAGAGCTAACTTCACAGTCGAAAACGGGTTACCGCCCTTCCAATTCGCAAATGGTAGAGGCGAGATTGAAATCACCTCTTGAATACGATAGAGCATGCGAGGAGGATACTAATCAAGTTCACTCCAAAGTTTTCGAGAGTTCTAGTTAGTTGGTTTGATGCCTCGATCAATAGGGTAAAATTGATACCATCAATCACATTACAGGCGATTGCCTCCTCCCCCTGGAGACACAATATAAATATAAATAAACATTACCCTCAAAACCTAACCCAGGTGAACCTTTATTTTGGCGAGTAGTAAACTTTACCTTGAGTACTAACCATGGAAACTTATGTACTCCTCAATGTAATTTGATATTCTTATGCTCACTGAATCAATCAGTACACTAGAGTTGAGGACGTTGAGGCTCGCGTTGAGGTATAAAAAATAATTGATTTTCCTGTTTTGTTTCTGGAGTGCACCAATCAGTTCAAATCGAAATATTATTGATCAATTCATTGTCGAATCCACCTATTTTCAGCGAAAATCATCAAATATTAGCGGACTGTATGTGTGAAGTATAGTACGGTTTTGCTCTAACGCGTGGGTTATCATTTCGAGTGACATTTGTTCAAATCGATGTGACAATCATAATTGATGTTTGTGTGTGTGTGAAAATATTCCACGAATCTATTTCCGTTGCAGGCGACACTTCCACGATTGAATTGGGGGAATGCAGGCATGTAATTTGCTAGGAAATCTCTGCCTATTAGCCGCACGTTGATGTGTGAAGAGACGAAAAATGGAATGGGGTTGATCGGTTCCATCGTATATCCTGATTGGATATGATATAGCAACTCGGTGAGTACACTGCATGTACCCTTAATAAAAGTTGTTCAGATCCTGAAACAAAAAGCCTTATCGTATCGGGTGAAAACGAAGAACAGTGAGATTTTTTGTTGATCAGTATTTTTCCCGGAAAAAAAGAGCCAAAAGCCGAGGTCTGAGTCTTGAAAAACATTTTCGGCTATCTGACGTTCAAGATTTCACACAAGAAATATTCTTCTCTCTCGTGTTAACATTGATTATTTGGTCTTTACACCATCCTAGGTATCCTATTAATTCAGTATTATTGTATGCGTCAAAGGCTGTATACAGCTATGGTAAGATCAATGTCAGTGCATGGATCGCAGGTTTGCAGACCAGTTAGACCAATCAAACAGTGACTCTGTTGGACCTCTTCTATCTCCTGAAACTAGCCCGTCTTTGTATCAGTATTTACAGTAATATGCAAAGAATATGTCGCGATTGGATGCTGTTGGTGCTCTTATAGCAGAAGTGACTAAAAGTGCGATCACCGTCCATGAGCGACATTTCTTTTGCATTTGACTGCACAAGGCTTCTATGGTAACCATACTTGATATGCCATGTGTGGATGTTTACACAAGGTTCACATACCAAGCATGATCACAAGCCCACTATTGTAGATGGGATGGGAGGTAGTGTAAGGCAGATTATTGAAATAACTACTAATAACCCTTCAAAATATAGCCAACGATGAGATGAATGAACTGTGAGGCAGGTATGCTGGTATGCTGTGTATACTGGCGGTTCAAGACTGGTGAAGATATGAGATCTGGAACATATCGATGTTGAATTCATAGATAATGCTCCTGCAACATTGAAGAGATATACCTACTTCAGTATTCCAGGCAGTGAGAGGGTACAAAGCTGCTTCAAAACCTATACAACTTATAGAAAAGATATGAGGCGAGGCAACATTGATGGTTTTCGGAATAAGTAACACAAACGTCAATCCCAAACACCGTTCGCCTGCCAATTGGAACAATGTTCCATCAGGACGACGACTACTGATGGTTGAAACTCTGTCAGAAATAGGGTACATGCTCAGTGACATTCTGAGTTTGAGGCTTGAGCAGAATTCAGATTGGGAATGAAATAACCAGTCATTGTCACTTGAGAAATAAAAACGTCTCATGGGTATATAAAGAGAACTGCACAAAAAACTTCTGCATCATTCGAGGTCGAATTCGAAAATGTTGTCCAACCAGAAGCAACCCACCTTGTATTTTTTCATTTTTGGATTCAGGGGATCGCTTTACACACACTAGCAATTCTTCCTAATTTATTTTTTTACGGCATATGTTGATCTTTTGTTCATCAATACTGAAAATGAAGATTGGAGTGAAGATTATTTTGTTATGTTATGATATAACTAACTAAACTAAAAAATTGCACCCTTGACATTTTTTGATCGCTTGGAACGTACGAAAGGAAATCCCTATAATGTTCGAAGAACATCGTGCGTATCTAGGGAGGGGAAGAGGAGGAAGGTATTGGATTTTTTCAAGCTGCGAAACGGTCCCTTGAATTAAAACATGGAAAAATTCACAAAGTTTCCGATTTGTCAGAAAAACTGAAGATTCGGTATAGGACTTGCTTCCCATAATTGAAATCTTACTATTCAGAAGGTGCAGCACTGGCCGTTTTCATACTATTCTCTGCATCTATACAAATAAATCCACATGCACCAGGCTTGAAATCAAATCACGGAAACAACCTGATGTTTACCTATGTAAATAGCTAAATAACCTGCTGAATGGGCTTCCTGAGTAAATCAGGGGAGCCTGTCCCAAGCTTTTTACATAATTAGTCAAGATTTTAGTGAAATCTCCAGTTACGTTTCTATTTGATTTGAAAACAGAATGCATTAAACGTGGTCAATGTTCAAAATAATCTGGTGTACGTGAGTGAAGCGTCTCTCGCCCTGTAAATTTACTTTCCAATAATTGACGGAGGCGCATCACGCGTCACCAAATCGAAGTAGCCCACAATAGGGATGAGGCAGCGTATGATCAGGATCAGGACGAGCGTTCCTATTGTCCCTTGACGTTGCGGCTAGTCCACGGACTCTATGTGGGCGTGGAGTTCACAGATTGGTTTTGGTGTGTCTCCTGCGACACATTCTCCTGTTTATATGCCCCTAATCGGAATCGCCTTAACTACGAGCCTGCCAACCCTAGTGCAGTGTCAGACGGATCTATTTTCGTCGCACATTGAGATCATGCCAACAACTGCTGACACTTAGGACCGCTAATTACTTGCCGATCGCCGAATTTTGATGGAATGATTATTGTCTGTGCGGTAGGTAGGTGGATTTCTGTCGAGGCATCAATCATTTGATGGCGAGGGGTTCATTAAACTGTGTGTTTTTCGATAATTGAGAAATGTCGAGGGTCGACGTATAACTACTTATATACAGGGTTTTTGGATGTATGATAAATTGATATCCATCATATAGGACGTGGAAAGAAATTATAAATTAAGAGAACCTGATCACGAATCTGCGATTGAGGTCTATAATAATAAAAAGTTTCCATCATTCAAGTTTGAAACCCTTGATTGGGTGAAGGTTGTTGTACAGGTGAAGGAAAATATTTCAATGGTAGATAGGGGTCGA